CTGCATAGCAAAACTCTGACAACATCCTGGCAACTGCATACTGACTCCCTAGCAACCACATAGAACAATCTGGCAGCTGCATAGCAATTCCCTGGCAACCACCCACAACACTGTAGAAACTGCATAGCAACACACTGACAACAGTTACAATACCACAGTAACACCATTGCAACCACCGTGAACACTGTGGCAACTGCATATCAATACCATGGCAACCACCCACAACACTCTAGAAACTGCATAGCAACACTCTGGCAACACCCACAATGCCATAGTAACACCATAACAACCACAACTGCATAGCAGCACCCTGACAACCACCTACACCACTCTAGATATGGCATATCAACACTATGGCAACACCTTCAGCAGCATAGCCACACCCTAGCATCAACCTAGAACACTCTGGCAGCAGCACTTGGAAAAATAATTGGAGAAATAAATTATATCAAATGTAATTAATCAAGATATATAAAACATTATAATATTCTATAATAAAAATATAAATTATATTCATATATAATACAAATATTATACATATAAATAATCATATAAAATATAATAATATAAATAATTTAAAACAAATATATACATGAAAACATATAAATTAAACATAAACATGTCAGAAAACCAAAGCAACATTCCTCCTTTACAGAACTTCAGTACTTGTGGCCGGTCAGATGTGTGTTCCTGAACCTGTCTAGACAAATCCAGCCTTTTGCTTTTACTCCAGCTGTCTCTGAGATAAATGATGAAGAGCTGATGAGCTGGGCTGGGCTGGGCTGGGCTGGGCTGGGCAAGATTAATGATAAGGAATCAGGAAAATCAGGCAGCAGTTACTGAAGACAGACTGTGTCTGCAGACAGACTAATGCAAAAAACACTGGATTAACAGCATCTACTAAGAGCAGACACACACACAGGCTTAGACAGAGTCGTTCTTGTGAAACGGAATGTCTTGTGTCTATTGTTGCACAACAGTTCTTGATAATGACATCAGACCCTGTGATTAAAGACAGGAACTTTAGGAAAAGTCTTTAGTTCATCTACTGCAGCGACACTACACTAATCATAGTGTAGATAAGCTCATAAAGATGAGGTATTATGCAATAAACACACATTCACTGATCGCATTACCTGCAGTAATGGCATAACCGGAAATTAGGCTTTTAAGGCTTGAAAGAGCATGTATTGGGAATTGATCCAGACAGTAGGATTTTGTAAAAGCTTTTTGTTTGCATGTGTACAGAGACCTACAATTAAAAAATAATGCATATAAGGACACGCTCTGTGTGAACAGCTATAGAATCTATCTACCAAGGTTTCAGATCAATATTGTAATTGTACTCTGTTATTATATAGACATTGACAAGTTTCTCTTTTTTTAGATAAGTAAAATTAGGATTTGGACATGAAAGCAAAGAAAACATGAATGGAGACTTTGAGGAGTCTTTGTGGCCGTCCTTTATCTCCATTCTCATAAATGTTTTGCCTTCTTTAATAGTAAGAATGGGGCACTTCATTTAAATATGAATCAACTCATTCAAAGTGGGAACTGAAAGGAGTAAAAGAGGAATGCAAACTCTTTCTTTTCCTGTGTCTTTAGCAAGCGCGTGTCACATGATCTACGCGTCTCTAACTGTCTATTAAAAGTGCAATGAAATTCAATGAAACTCAATGTGAACTCTTTTTTTCTATTAGCATAACAGTGTGACTAAGAAATTGCTTTATGAATGGTTCAAGAATGCTACATTTAGCTTTATTTTAGTGTATAGTATTTTTAAAAGTAAAATAGAAAAATAGATTATCAGAAATAAAATGCTATCAGGATTGTGAAAAACAGAAGTGTTGCAATTCCATTTGGTGCCACTAGTGGCACAGAAATGGCACACTTTGCATTTGGCTGATCTGGTCAGTGGGTGTAAATAATGGCTCATTTAAGCCATTTCTGTTAATAAGTATGTTAAGTAGGATTTATTGTACATTTTAAGGCCATTTTAGTAACTTATAACCTCAAGTGCAGGTGATGTCCTCCACATCCCATCTTTTTGTTAAGTATCTTTACACAATAACAAACACAATCCACTGCTGGTCAAGTAATGTTTCCCTGCCTTAAATTTTCAAAACTGCGTCTTGCATTTTTATTAGTGACACCAATATAAATATCATTCTAATATTTTCATGTGAAATTAAACTAGGCGAGTCACATGGGAAAATGTTGTCTGTAAATCCAGTCATGTTTATTATATGTATTAACCATCTGACTTAACATTCAGTGTTATTCAACACCAGAGAATATGGAGTAAAATATAGCAGTGAGTGCTTTTACTGGGCAGTATGATTAATGAAGTTGCCCAGTGGCTCCTGAGAGTCTGGTAAACACAGTTAGTTTGCTCACTGTCTGCATGAATCTTGCTACGTTATTGAATGTTTTTACTCTAATTGGGTTTGAATGAACTATATTTTCTCTCTAATTTGGTTATTACTTACTATATTTGGACAGTATAAATGTGGTTTGCATGCACACGCTGAATGGATGTGTGATTTGCAACATTTAGAGATCCATTTTTTAAATATAATATAATATAATATAAAATAAATAATATAATATTGTATATGGGATAATGTAGAGTTTAAGTTTATTTTGTGATCATGACTGGCTGACTGTACATTATCTCACTTATCATGCATACTCACCAGATAAATACATATGTGAAGATGAAATATTGATTCAGGGTTAAATTATTAATTATTTATTTGCATTTTTCCTGTATGTTATTTTTAAACAATGTTACAATATGTTACAATGTACAAAACAATTCAAAGAGAATATTACAGCGAAAATATTACAGCAGTGTTATTTTCGGTTTATTTATATACTATTGTAGCATTAATGATTATTATGAATTAGGTTTTATTTCAATATTGGTTTTTACATATTATTGATATAGCATTTTAAAGTTTTTTTTTTTCATATGTATTAGTTTTTTGTATAGCAGTTTGGGTAATTTTATTACTTCAAATTAAACTTAGTTAAGGCAACATTTCTCATTTTTAAGTTTTGAAGTTAAAGTTTTTCATCTAATATTTATGTTTTATTTTATCATTAAAATCAGCTTTTTATCATTTTAATTTTAGTTACATACCACTATACAGTAGTATTAATACTTGGAGTACTCAGACTTGTTCTGAGGTCATATTCACTGCAGCTGCTAACTGAGATGCTTGGCACTAAATGATTTTGTATGAAACATAAGCATGTGTGTGAGAAATGCACTAAAAACTAAACAAAACAAAAAAAACTAGCATTATTGCACATGGCTGTGTTATTTTAGTATAATTTGGATACTAATCAGAGGCGGACAGTAGTGAAGTATTTTTGCTTTGCTGTAAAAGTACTTTTCAAGTGTTTCTTTAGAAAATTTTACTTCACAACATTCCAAAGCATAATATTGTACTTTTTACTGCACTACGTTTCATATTAAATATCATTTAATACTTAATTACATTCGAAATCTATTACTTTCTTACGTTTACTCAAGTAAAAGTAATTCAAAGATTTACTTGAGTACAAGAAAGTACTACATTTTTAATGTTTTTAAGTATTAAAGGTAAAACAAACAACAACTTTTATTTATGAAATGTAGTGCAGTAAAAAGTATGATATTATGCTTTGGAATGTAGTGAAGTAAAAGCTTTCCAAAGAAAAACACTCTGATAAACTACAGATACTTTTTAAATTTACTTGAGTAAAGTAAAAATGCTTCACTACTGTCCGCCTCTGATACTAATATAATTTTTATTAATATTTTGAATTTTTTCAAATATATTTTCTGTTTTCATTTTAATTTGAGTTTTTTTTTTGTCTGTACAGTTTTTATCGATTTTGATTTCAGTTTTAGTTTATTTTAGTATATCAAGTTAAACTAAATAAAAATGAGAAATTGAAATTAAATGAAAAGTTCTTATTTTATTTTAAGTTCGCATCTATTTTATTTCAAGCAGTGATTTTTTAAAATGTTTTCAGTTAACTATAATAACTCTGGTGCATGGACAAGCACCATTAATAATGACAATAAGTAAAATAATAATCAGAATACAACTTTATCTATGCATCTGTTCATGTACGACTATGCTGATGCATAAACATTTCTGTTTTTCAGAATGTGAAGCAATATCCGTTAAGATGGAGTCTCTTAACCATTCGGCCTCCATTCTGCCTTCCTGCACCTACAAGGAGGATTTCAAGCGCTTCCTCCTCCCGTCCGTCTACAGCCTGGTCTTCATCTTTGGACTGCCGCTCAACTTCATCATCATCCTGCGGATCTTGGGCTCCCGGCGTGCTCTGACGCGGACCAAAATCTACATGCTGAATCTAGCGGTGGCGGACTTCCTGTACGTCTGTTCCCTTCCGCTTCTCATATACAACTACGCCAGCAAGGACTACTGGCCGTTCGGAGACTTCACCTGCCGCCTGGTTCGCTTTCAGTTCTACAGCAACTTGCACGGAAGCATCTTCTTCCTCACCTGCATCAGCTTCCAGCGCTACATGGGCATCTGCCATCCGCTGACGGTGTGGCCCAGACAAGGTGGACGCAGGCTGGCGTGGTTGGTCTGCGCTGGCGTCTGGGTGGCCGTCGCCGTTCTCTGCGCTCCAACGTTCGAGTTCGCCGCCACCGGCATCCAGCGCAACCGCACGGTGTGCTACGACCTCAGCGTTCCAGAGCGCTCCACAGCGTACTTCCCATACGGCATCACTTTGACCTGTCTGGGCTTCGTCGTGCCCTTTCTAGTGATCGTGGTGCTGTACAGCAAAATGGCACGGGTTCTCTGGCAGGTCGGCGAAGCCCGAGAAGCCTCGGCCATTGAGAAGAAGAATAAAGCCATGAGGATGATCATCATTGTAATGCTGGTGTTCGCCATCAGCTTTTTGCCCTTCCACGTGACCAAGACGCTCTACCTGCTGGTGAGGACCTTTCCCACAGCTCCCTGCGAACTGAGGAACCTGCTGTCTGTGGTCTACAAATGCACCAGACCCTTCGCCAGCATGAACAGTGTTCTGGACCCCATTCTGTTCTACTTCACCCAGCCGCAGTACAGACGCAGCACCAGGAGTCTGCTGCGCAAGATCACCTCGCTCAGAGACAAGGCTGGCCAAATCTGACTGGAGCACACCTGCTTTGGTCGAAAGTTTCTGAATGCTAAAGCAAGACACTACAGTCATAACCATTGTTATGTCCACTGGACATATTTGAGGTTTTTTAGGCTAAAGTTTACAAATTAGTACCTTTTTTTAAAGGTTGCCACCCTAGTGACAGTATTGTACCTTTATTTCTGAGAGTGTAGTGGGAAAAAAAAACATCCAAAATACACATTTAAAGGTGCAGTAAGCGATTTCTGAAAAGCGCTGTTGATAGATGAAAACACTGAAACAAACACACCCCTAACCAAAAGGATCACACCCCTATCTTGATAGCTCCGCCCCCAAATTCATGAACATGCTGTGCAGCACAGGCACCTCCCCCATCATCAGTGGATACGCCCCTTACTGGTGATTGGCTACAAATGCGCTCAATGGCGTTTCTCAGAAATCACTTACTGCACCTTTAAGTGTTTATTTTGACACTTTATTTATTTGTGTCTATAGATTTTAATTACAGTAAAAATCTCTAAAGGCTATTTTCTCAAAATGAGATTTTTTTCTTATATGCTGAATCAGAAATCTCCACTTCAGCAGCTTGTACATCAAACTTTTGTTTTTACAGAACGGTTTGTTCCAGGATTATTATAGTTAGCTAAAACTAAAACTGAAAACTAAAAATAAACATTTTCATTACTTAAAATAAAATAAATGCTAACTGAAATAAAATATTGAAAAAATATTTTATGTCAGCTAGTTGTGGAGGCAACATTTATCACTTTCATTTAGTTTAGCTTGAAGTACTAAAATAACAAACTAAATAATAAATACAAATTGATAAAAAATATATAGACATAAAAACAAATAAAAGAAAATATATAAACATAAAATTCAAAATATTTACAAACATTATAATAGCATATCAATGATACTAAAATAAAACTGGTTTGTTCGTATAACATTCACCTAATTTATATAACTTTTTTTTCCCTAAAATTGTAGTGAATATGTGTTTGACAGCTGTTTGCTGAATTACGGGGAGATAAAAAGAAATATCCAAAATCCTCTCTCTAAAAACTTTTAACACTAACATGTTAACAAAATGAAACAAGAATTTTGAACCTAGCGTTATCCAATGTTCAGTTTTCTGTTCTGGAAATGTGTGAAATTTAGTGCATTTTTAATTAGATAATGCCTCATATGCATATTTAAATGTACCATGTAATTCAAAATGTAATGTCTTAATGTACTGTGATTATTTAACTGGGGAAGTATGGTGATATCTATTAGTTAAACAATTACCCTGTTAACCTGTAGTGTCTTACGTTAAGATACGCTTAGTAGACTATGTGGTTGTTGAAACAACAACAACAACAACAACAAAAAGTCAATATTTAAATACAAAACGTCCAAGGTGTTAAGTACCTGTACTGTGAAGGTTGTACATAATGGTTGAAGGAAGTGACTCATATTGACTGATTCAGTGTTACAAAAAAATCATTTATGATGACTGGATCTATCACCCTATGGACATTTACATTTGCTTTGAGAGAATAGCCCACAGTAGAACTGTGTGTGTCGTATCTGAGCATTTAACCCCTGTGAGTGTCTAGATCAGCTGATCTCTCTGATCTTTATGAGGGCAATAGGATGTAAATGTTGATATAAGAATTACAGAACTGTGAAAGCAGAAATATCTTGCCAGTTTCAGATTTTTGATCCAAGGGAATTTTGAGTGCAAATTTTACAAAAGAATGGTTAACTTTTGATAATTAATTTGCACTGGATTTGCAAGTATTAAAAACAGTGTTTGTTTAAAAACACAAAGAAAAGAAATCACCCATTTGTTATTTTTAATTATTTTATTGATAAATAAAAATTAAAACACACACACACACACAGTCTGGTCAGCTATCCTTGTGGGGACTCTCCATAGGCGTAATGGTTTTTCTACTGTACAGACCGTATATTCTATTGCCCTACACCAACCCTGCCCCTAAACCTACCCCTCACAGGAAACTTTCTGCATTTTTAGATTTTCAAAAAACTTCATTCTGTATGATTTATAAGCTTTTGTACCCGTGGGGGACCACAATTTAGGTCCCCACCGTGACACGAGTCCCCATGAGTCTGTGTGTATTCAGGTTTAAGTCCCCACCAGAATATATAAACCTGTACAGATACACACACACACACACACACACACACATATATATATATATAGTAAGATATTTTTAAAGAAATCAATACTTTTGTTTAGCATGGATGCATTAAATTAATCAAAGGTGACAGTAAAAACATTTGTAATTTTATAAAAGATATTTCAAATACATGCTGTTGTTTTGAACTTTTGATTCATCAAAGAATCCTGAAAAAATGTATCACAGTTTCCAAAAAATATGAAGCAGCACAACTGTTTTCAACATTTATAATAATCAGAAATGTTTCTTTAGAAATGTTTCAAAATCCAGCTTTGTATAACAAGAATAAATAACATTTTAAAAATGTATTCAAATGGAAAACAGTTATTTTAAATTTTAATATTTTTCACAATATTACTGTTTTTACTGTATTTTGAGCAAAGAAATGCAGCCTTGGTGAGCAGAAGAGACTTCTTTTAAAAAACATCTTAGCAACCCCAAACGTTTGAACAGTATTGTATATGCATGATATTTAGGATAAATAGGTCCCTTGAGACGGTGTGGAATTATGGATGAGAGATAGAGATGAATGAAAGCATTTGGAGTGGAAGAATAACACATCTGTTTAACATTCTGCATCTGCTGCACATTATCCGAAGGTCATTATCAGATGTTTGATGGTTTAATAACACTTTGTACAGCTCAACATCCTTGTCCTACAAGAGAAGGATCTAGTGTTAACAACAACACATGTACAATAATTGATCCAGGAACAGAGCTCACATAGAAAGACATTTCATTTGTGCCTGTGCAGTCATTGTGTTTTCATGAAGCAGTTTAATCGCAGCTGTAGCTGTAGGGTTGTAAGCTTTTATTTGAAGCTTCAACATGACCAAAAACTACAAATAGATATTGCTGGAAGGCTGGGTTTACAGAATGGTAAAACAAATTATTTTGCATTATTGTAAGAGTGAGTTTGTTTTAGTCATTTGGCCAGTATTATGTTTGTGAGTTTTTAAATGTGAATGAATTTTGCCTTATATCTGAATGGTGAAGAAGAACATGAAGCACTTTATGTTCGGAGTGAAATACTAACATACTACATACTGCACTGTAAATACTGTATATTGTTTTTATTTCAATTGTTTGTGAATCTGTATGCATTATGCAGTGATAAACATGTCGAACAGATACATTGTTGTCCTACAACCTTAACATGTTGCATGATTATTGAAATCCAGTTTTGTGACTAATTAAAAAATGATTGGGTGTACAATGTATTTTGGCAAATGTAGTAGATAATTTAGGTATTGCATACATACAAACAATCTGGATACCGTATACATACTAGAAATAATCGTAGTACTGTGCTATTTTAAACATACGGTACACTGTTAACTGCTATCTTATAATGTTAACTTGCAGCAACTTCAACCTGCCTTGAAGCAACAAGTATTTCTGTCGCAGACTCTATTAACGGCCAGTAGGTGGCGTACTTTACCAACAAGTTTTATATGTGATTTTTCCACATTAAACTGATTATTTGCTTCCTGCTTCAGCATAAATGGTTACACAATATTATGAATGGTTAAACATTATTTAAACAATATATGACATGCAACTTATTGGGCAAAAGGATGAATTTTGCCCATGTAATGATGAAAACAAATCTGTCAGTGTTATCCAATATACTAGCAAAGTCATTCCATCTGTGTCTGTATTGTAGTATGTGCATACAAGATCTTTTTTCAAGTAAGAATACTAGTTATTGTAATTTTACTAGTTATGATTCATTTTTGTCAATTAATGTTTGCTTTTGTTTTGTTTATCAGACTAATTATTTGTGTAAATCTACAGTCTCAAGATGTATAAATAAGTATAATATTAAATGAAGCTATTCAAATCCATATCCTAAATGAAGTCTTTGTGAATGTTTTTTGTTATTGCCTTTAAATGTGTAATGAAATGTTGATTTGTCAAATGGAATTGTGTTCGCTGTGTTTTTAACCTGATCTGTTGTTTGTCCAATAAAGACAAATCAATTAATGTAATTTCCTGCAATGTTTTTCATATTATTGTAACATTCAGGATTAAGAAAGACCTACAGTGGACCCAAAAAGTATTTGGATGCTTACGTTGCACTAAATGTCATTGCATTACAAAAAAATACCAAGCCAGACATTTGAATGAAAATGATAGTTTTTATCAAAACATACAGAGATTTGAGTAAACATGAATATGGCCACTAGAGCGCACTCTAGACATGCAACTAAAAGGCAAGATAGACGAAAAAGAAGAAGAAAAAAAGAAGCCTTCGAAACAAAGGACTGCAGAAGTTTTTACTGTAAAGCCAATGCATGGAGACCGTGCAGACAAACAGAGCTTTTGGTTAAAGAGGCAATAACTAGATGTATCTGTCTGAGCTTCCCCAATGCTCAAAGAAAACGAAGATGATCATTTGTTCAACAGTTTCCCAATGTGCATTTACAAACTGACAGCATTATCTACTCTCTCACACCAGAAAGAGGAAAAGCTGGATTCCCCCCTCGTTTTCCCCAGGGGTCTCTCTCTCTAAACCCCGACCCCATGTTTTAGTCCCGCCCTCAATCCAAGCAACTATCTGCATGTAAAAAGCCACAAGTCACGGAAACCCTTAATTGTGCCAAAGTAAGTTTGAGCGCACTTATTCAAGCTGGAAATAAAGGATGCTTTTGAAGAAAGACAGTCGGCCAAGGAAATGGGATTTACTTTGGGAAAAGTACATTATTCA